TTATATATTAACTGTTGGATTCAATGAATATATAAATATAAAACTAAAAAAAAATATACATAAATGGTGGGTCAACCCACTAACTCAGTGGGAATTTTGGCATAAATTTGTCTCAAAAATGAGTTTTTAGTTAAAACTCATATTTGACCAAACAGTTGAAGCAAGTTGAGCTATGTTTAGAATCTAAAATTTAAGTTTTACTTCAAGAATTGTTATAGGTCTTAAACTACACCCTACTTTTTCTTTTTTTTTTTTTTTGTGAAATCATTTTACTAAATAATGTACTTTGATTAGTGACAAAGTCCAGTCTTCGATTTCGATGGTCCGTGACAATTTGTTGAACAATGCATGGGAGGCCATGCCTTTCTAGTTGTACGTCGTGTCTAAAATAAGCAGACATATCATTTTTTTTTGGTAAAAATAAGCAGACTTATCATTGATTTAACGTCATCTTCAAGTTTCATGCGGTGGGTAAGTTCTTGGCTTTTATAGTTCGGTGCACATGCCACTACTTAAAAAAAATTAACTAAATCCATTATGTTATATGTGAAGTCTAGTAGTTAGATTTATAATAATAAGGTAGAGCATTAAGTGATTAGTTGTGATGAAACTTAATTAAGATGGGTAAGTTTTTGAAATTTGATTTGCGACGACTAATTTGATGAGTGAAGCCATATTAAATACATTCTATGTTACTCAGGTTAATAACGCGTTCTACTCATAGTGAGTTGATAACAAGCCACAAATTCATTTTGCTATGTTCACAAAGAAGAACTTACCTACGTTTCTGAAAACGTCATAATAACATTAAATTGATAATACGACTTCACATGTTTTAAATTTTTTACATAACGCCAAATCAGTATTTGAAGACGTCTGCTAGAACCCGTTTCGCGTGTGTTTTCGAGACGAAAACGAGGTTTGTACTCAACTACAAACTACAAAATGGTTAATAAAATAGAAAAAGAATCTTTGCCGGATCCTTTTTTTGGGGATTCAGAGGATCCCGTGATCGTGATTATCTATCGTACATCATGCGATTAGAAATTATTTGAAATTTAAGATTAAATATAAATAATACATAATAAAAATTGATCGTATAATATATGATAAATAGACACGATTACAAAATAACATGGATTCTCAAGAAAATGATCTGACGAGTATCATTTTCCAACAAAACAAAATGATCCCCCAATTTACCTTTACTTCCTGTTGCTGAGCTGATTAATCAAAACTGGGGTAAAAAGTAAAAACGCTTAGATGCTGTTGGACCTACCTTTCCCCATCATCAGACGAGCACAAGTGGGCCACCACATTAATTGATCAGATCAGAAAGGGCAGAGGGGAAAATCTTGACGATACTGATACCACCCCCTTGGACCAATGGGTATTCCTGGGGGACCCAGCAAAGCTAATCAAATGGGGACAGTGGAAATGTCGGGGGAGGGACTGCGTGGCCTGGGACGATATCTAGGGTCCACTCTCCGTAGATGAGAAATCTTCCAAGTGCACAGAGAGACAGATAAAAGACAGAAATTAGAGAAAGAGAGGGTCACGTGTACCCTATATTTACAGGGAACCATGAGTGATCACAGCCCTAATGGTGTCCGATCAAATCACTAATGCGTTGTCATTTCACAAATCTCCAATGGGATTCTCTTAAAAAGCTAAAAAACAAAACTTGTAAAAGCATTTTAATTTTTTTGAGACGTGCCGTTTAGAATACTGAACGATCAAATAAACTGGATTGGAAAGAGATTGAAAAAACCAAAAAAAAAAAAAAAAAAAAAAAGAGAAAAGAATCTCTCTCCCTGCCATAGAGCAATGATACCAAGAGTTGGAAACGATTTGGACGGCTGAAAGTCCTTGGAGAAGGAAACCCTTATGCTATTTGTCATGTCATGTTTAATTACTTGCAAATAACGTAATATCATTATTTTATATTTTTACATAATTATAAAATTAGCTTGAAAATTACGTTTGCATTCCAAATAATATATATTTCTTGAAACATGTAACATAAAATTGGAATAATATTGAAAAGACTAGCATGAACAAAAAAAGAAAATTGAAAAAAAATGGGACCATAGTTCGAACAAAAAAAGAGAATTGAAAGTAAAATAACATTGTTTGGGCACTAAGATTAGTGTGTAAAATTAAATCAAATTATATAAATGCTAGACTCAAAGTATGTAGTTGAAAGAGAAATAGGTGTAGCTTATAAATATTTCCAAAATGAATTAGAAGATGAAATAAGATCATAAAAGAAAGCATTCTCTTTAATTCTTATACAAAATCATGACATAAATTGCACAGAATTAATACGTTTAATCCCTTCAACTTATACAAAATCAAATTTGGCCTTTTTATTCCTAACATAAGTCGCTTCAATAGAAAACATAACGTTATTCTAGTGAAGTATCATATGATCATTTCTAATTCAAATCTAAACAGCAACATAATTTATCCGTGAAATGACATTCTTACGTACCTACAAATCACAAACATGTGAGAATGTGACGACATAGTCTCACATCAACGAGGAATTAAACCATGTAAAGGTTAATAAAGAGATTAAACTACTCTCAATATTATTTATTAATTTTGTAATGGAACTTCAACTTTTTCAAACAAACACCATTACTAACCTAAAAATGGAAAAAATTGATAATTGCACACACATGTTAAGCGTTGTTGACAAGAAAATAATTGAGGGAGCGAGTGTCGGACGTATAAATTGGACGGTAGAGGAAACATCAGCCAGAATTCCGTAGCCGCCTGCCGACAGGCACCGAGGACAGACCGAGACTCGGTCAACCACGTCTACGTGGTGGTACCAGATGGGGCGGATCAAGAAAACCATGGCGTCGGTCAACCAACGTGGATTTGATTTGATTTATAACTGTTCACAACTCACAAGTGTGGAAGTTTGACGAAATGGGTCAAATTCAAATATAGCGGCCGGGTCATGCTTTGGCCTAGTTGGAGCAGTTAATAAGTACCACCGGAAATCCAAAAGTTTGCACGGAAGGTGGGGTTCTTGTACTGCAAAGTATGCACCCCCAAAATATTATCTTAATGGCAGAAATATTATTTCTGGCGGAGTTATGTTTTATTGTTTTCCGCACATCTCTCTTTATATTGCATCTTCATTAATTTCTTTTATTCTCTCTTTTGATTTATTCTGGCTAGGGAACAAAACTAGATAGAGCTGTGAGAGGATGAGAATTAGGTTGTAAAAATCATATTCTAATGCACACTTTCAAATTTTTCTTTAGAACAAGAGATACTATTGACCAAGGGACAAGTTAACAAAAGCGGTAGCAAATGGGATAGCGAGGAGAGGTTCTTTCTTACAACAATATAGTATCATTGGTCCAATGAATGATTAAAAAAGTGAACCATTCGTCTAATAAATAATCACATTTGGTGTATTTGTTATTTAAGAGTAACTGTTGATAAAGAGGGTCCAAACACGAACCATAAATCTAGAAATCTATTACTCCAAAAAGCCCATAACAGTGATAAAATCCAATCGAGCAGAAACATGGCGGTTGATTCTTCCCCTGGAGTAGACCAATGGAGTTTTGAGGGAAGGACCAAGATACCCACAACAAATCAGAGGAGGAGAGATCGAATCCGAGATGATTTAATTAATAGGCTTGTGGGGATTTGTCGTTTTGGTGGTGTCAATCAATCCAGAAGCTGTTTAGCGAAGCAATGCAAGTCCGTCTGATCTGGGTTTGAAAATGATTGTGGGATGGGAGGGGTGAAGCGGAGAAGTTGGTCATAGCCGTCAACTCGATTTTGGGGTGTCTCGCCAAGGCCATTTAACAAGTTTAGTTGCGTTTAGTTGGGACAAGTCTTAAAACTAGTCCCTGGCATGTAAGAAACATAGGATCGCACTAACATTTATAATTGGTTTAGAATTGTGGTGCTTTTAAAAAAAAAGGCTTATTAAAAGTCTAGAACATCGTCACTTAGTATTAACATCATTTATTTATAAAAAAAAAAAAAAAAACCTGAAACATTAAATGTGTTTGGTAAAACAAAAAATAAAAAGTGTTTTTTTTTTTTTTTTCAAAAATTGCTCTCAATAACAATAGAAAAGAAAAGGATGCTTTTGAAAAAAGTTATTTTTTTTTTTAGTTTTCAATGCATAATAATCAGTGTCCATTAAATGAGTTTTTCAATGACAAGAATACTCCAACATATCTTATAAATTACAATCATTGACCATACATTATTATCTTTTGACAATTATTATATTATATTAAATATCATATTAATTTTAGTCATTTAACATATTTAGAGCAATTTATACAAAAGTTTGCCAACACTCATACACTGGTTTTTTTTTTTTTTTTTTTTTTTTTTTTTTTTTTTTTTTGTTGTTGTTAAAGCTCCCTTACAAAAAAAAAAAGAAAAGAAAAAACCAAACACTCAAAAACTTCACTTTACAGTTGTTTCTCACCACACAGAATTAGTTTTTTTCTATTTTTTTATTTTTTTAAACATAGTAATGCCAAACTGGCATTAGTCCAATCTAATATAGTAAAAGCTAGTGAGAGAAAACAAACACAACCTAAAGGTAATGTTGAGGAATTGGAGGTGTCCCAACAGTGGTGGAAGTGCAAAACTTCTCCAAATGAAAGGCCACCCACAAGGAGAACAAGACATGCACTTTGAACCTCATTTCGAACTAAGTCTCATATTTCTTTTTCAAAACCTCAATTTACATACATCTTAAAAAACTTATCGTTCAATATACTCTTAACAAATAAAAAGACGAAAAAAAAAAAAAAAAAAAAAACTAATGAGCTTATGCTCATATTGTTATGGAGATGGTTGGTACATTAAATTTGAAAATTTTCCTAATTTCACAAAGTCCATTACATTAACAATACCTCATTGCATTTCGTCTTGGGTCTCGGTTTGCATTAGGACGGCTCCGCTCCAGAAAAACGAGTCCAAGAAAGATTGTAAAAGGAAATTCAGCACTACCCAACATATTCCTTTTATTTCTTCATGTTCCACCTGAAAAACATATGTATGCATTTGTAGGGCAGAGAAAAAAAGACTATCTAAAGCAGTTGATGAAATTAATCTATTCGGAATTGTTTAGTAGGCTTAAAGGTGTTTGTTTGACCTAAACCATATTATAGTTATGATTCTGAGCTCCTCCTCACAGATAATGATGCAAATTTCTGGATTAGGCCCTTCATTCTCTGAATTATGTCTTCAAATGATGGACGTTGTTCCGGGCCGCTGATTGTTATTGGCAAGAAAGAATGGTTTTAGTTTCAACACGTGAGTTCGAATTTCAGTAAACAAAATGAGCTAGCCAGCTGAATGTACTTACCTTTGCCAACAGTCTTCGATGATGGATACTACTTGGGGATCGAGGCCTTCTGGTATGTCTAATCTTCTATCCATGAACCCTACAATTCCAACCACCTTTCGTATGAAAGGAACAATTTTGAGTGAGATTAGAAGACCAAAAGGGAAAAGAGAATCAAAGTTTGTGTGCCGTTATATGCGCACAAGTGTGCACACTGAGAAAAACAAGAGAGAACCTGTAAGGAATTGAGGTTATTCCATGGGACCGATTGAGTCATTAGTTCCCACAGGATGACACCAAAGCCAAACACATCTGACCTGTTGACAGAGAAGACAACTCAATACACGGTAAAAGTTTGGACGTAAATGTCACCACACGTTTGCTCAATAATGGAAAATAAAAAGGTATACAGGCTCGATTATTGTTAGATAGTCAATTACAATGCTATGACTGCTCGATCGCTACTTGGATGGGCTACCATAAAATTCCAAGATCATATGATTCTATAATTTCAGAACTACAGCATAGCAGACATAATGTTCGATACAATTTTCATCTAATACAATGGTAACAGATGAATACATTTGATTCTATGTCTGAAGGATATCATATTCTCCAAAAAATCCGCATTTGACATAAAAGCTTCAAAAGGGAGGACATGCAAGACAAGTTATAGATCAGTTTTCAGAAATTACTTCTCATTAGATGGTTCGTTTCGAAGGACTTCAGGGGCCATCCACTGAGGCTGCATTTAGTAAAATAAAGACCTCAAAGTGAGAGTATTACATATAGGTGGTCATTGTAATCAATAGAGATTCAAAATATTCCACTGAGGTTTCTCAAATTTTTGTAAAGCATAACATATCCATGAGCACATTCCGCAATTAAAAGGACCTTTAGAAGGAGTCACTTACTGTTCCTCTTCCAGATCTTGCACTCAAGAAGGTTGCATTCTTCAACTTTGACAGGTCAAAGTCTCCAACCTGACAGAAAAAAGACTAGTCTAAGCAACTGGTGTATACTCCATCTCCTTGAATAAGTAGTGAGGCCATCGATCGATTTACATTACCTTGACAGTCCAATTCTTATCGACCAGCAGGTTAGACGATTTCAAATCTCTGTGAACTATAGGTGGATTTCTATGATGCAAGTAATTCATACCTCTAGCCTGTAATATAAGAGAATTTGTTATTCCATTGACAGCAGAAAGCCGGAAAGGCTTAAGTGAAAAATAACTGATTTGCATGACTTTGCATATACAAATCATATACAAAACTGCATAACCACTGTTAAATGTGAGCGTGACACCCTGATGTTAGTGACCAAAGTTGGATTTGTGCATGTTTCATGCATCTTTAATTCTTCGAAAGGATAAATTTTGTTGTAACGAAAATGTGAACACAAGCAACTGTGTGCAGACACAAACAGAGAGAGAGAGAGTAGTATAGACGCACAACATCAAGAGCCATCACCAGCCGTCGTCTGATGTCTAATGTCTGATTGTTCTTGTGAAGTTGTTTAAAGAGACTTCCCCTGCCCAGAAAAAATGAAATCAGTTTAATACTCGTCCATAATTGCCATATGATAAGGGGAGCAGTATCTTATGATATCTGCATTTTATGGCTTGACCAGATTGGTTAAACTGTTAAGATACCATTCAGAATGATATCAACAGTACAAAATCAAAGGCCTGGTACCTAGTAGCACAGCATGAAATAAACCAGCTTAGCAACAATGTGCGAACTCTTAATATCGTTCACTGACCAATCTTTGAGAAGTAATATAGTTCCAATTACCTAGGTAAATACTCTGTGACGATGGCAAGGCGTTCTTGTGAGCACACAGCTCCCATAAACAACAAGACATTAGGATGTCGCAATCTTTTCATTATATCAATCTAAAGAAAGAAAGAAAAAGGGATTCTTGATCAACTGCTTCCTTTCTCAAACAACAATACAAACAATACAAGTTAACTGAAAATTTATAGCACCTCCTTCTTGTAGTCTTGTAAAATCCCTTCACTGTATTCATTCTTAAAGTAAACCTTAATAGCAACATCCTAAACAAAACACACACAAAAAGTCAAATGTGAAATTATTGACTATTTGGGTAAGATATTAAGGACATTTTGATATAGACATGTACCGATTCATTCCAGATTCCACGATAAACAATGGCACATGAGCCTGTGAGGCAAGAACAAACATGGATGCTTAGATACTGAAGATCCAGTCTCATGTACACTTCTTAAGAATTTCCACCTTTTAAATTAAAGATAGCCCCAGGCTTTTCAAAATTTGAGCATAGGGCACTAGATTTAAAACACAAATAGACACATCTACCTTGTCCAATTGCATCTCCCAAATGCAAGTCATCCCACGAAATCTCACAATCTTCTCTGGAGTTAGAGTCGTTATCCCATTTGATTGAACAACTACCACTGCTGTCTAAATTTGGTAGTTGTTTACCATTTTGTCCATGCACTGAATCTTGAATCTCCAAAGTATTCAAGTAGCATTCTTCAGGTTTTGGATCCTTCCCCTCCACTTGGTAGCGTAATATTGGCAGCAGATAACCCAGTCCGGGAGACCCAAAATCCTCATTGCACTCCCTTGAAGAGGCTAAAACAGAACCCTCATCTGAAATTGAGTTTTTGTGCCCATATGCATTTGGATGAGTTCTATTATCGTCTTGAGAAGAATGGCCATTACCGGGTTTTTCTTCCTTACTGTCTGTATCAACAAAGCAGTGGCATGTACTTGATGCCTTTGACTTTCTTGGGGAAGTAGTATCCTTAGTCACTTCATTTCTAAACAGAGAAGCACCGGTTCTACCACTTTGTTGAGAGCTTCTATCATCTTGGTTTCCACCTTTGTTGGTTCCTATAGTACGCAGCTTTGACAAGAACTTTGCTGCCTGCAGCCATCTCACCAAAATAGTTTAGACACACTCTACAGGGAAATAAAAAGAAATGAAAACATAGAAACCATGATTTAGTACGACAGATACTCACCAGTTTACCAGGTTTCTCTAAGTCAGCATCTTCGGTTTGTATTGTAGAGTCCTCTCTGCCCTTGTTTATCGCACTTGAATTGCATACATTGTCTTCATTTCTTGATAGAAGTCTTGAGGCCTGATAAGTTCACCAGCATAATGAGTAAAGCACAATTTCAGTTATCTGAATGAAATCAAAAGAATTGTGATTGTGTAGCACATAAGCACCAGATTAGAAACAGACGATGCAATCTGTGGCAATGGTGCAATAGGTGGCCGTGGGTGCTTTGATTGCCATCCTCTACATTGGACATTGGCATGATCCTTGAATGTTTTCATATTTTCTGCTTGTAATCTATTAAACAATGCCGCGTCATTTGAAATGGTGATAATACCGACAAGCTCATTGTTCTCATACAACGGGGTTTTGGTTACCATCGCCACAAATATTTCTCCAGACCTCTTCTTAAGAGGGAACTGACCTGACCATGATAGCCCAATGCTCAACTTTTCCATGATTCTCTTTAGAGGTGCAAAGTATTCCTCAGCAATGATGTTCTCAGAATCTCTCTGTCCAAGGACTTCATAGCCCTTCCATCCATAGAGATCCTCAGCCGCTCGATTCCTGAATTAATACGCGATGCAGTGTCAACGAATATCAAATTTTTGAGCAATTTAACTTCACATGGGATAGCATATGTTAGCTGCCATCTAAAGTGTCTATAATGAGGTTTCAGAAATGAATTCAACATGCATGAATCTTGACAAATTCAACTTCAGGGATACATAAACCCATCGGCCCACCAATAATCACTTTGATGGTGAACCAAACTATTCCCGACGTACATAACAGGTGTCGAATTCTATCGCAAAGGATCTCGATGTAAATATCATATCAAACGCTTACAATATTCATTTGTGATTATCTAAAATCCTTGGATTAGCCTCAAATTCTTTGTCTCGAACCGATCATATGTTGTGGCATGTAAATATTTACTGAGATAAACACAATATGCACAAATTCGATGCAATCTAGCTTTACTTTTACCAAAATCCAATTTTGTGGAGTTAAATTTATAAAATGAACTGTTTCAACCAATATCACATATACAGTACCACCAACCTGTAACAGTGACACCGTAAAAACACATACAACTTCACGAAACAATCACAACGACGCAGTTCTAGCACTCGCGTACCAGTAATTGATCTCTCCGCTGGATGCTACGCAGACATAGACGGCGTGGCCTATGCTATCCAACACGGCTTTGTACGGGCTGCCCGAGAGGAAGAAACCGGGCACGTTGAACAGCGAACCCGGATAGTCTGACGTCGGCAGCTCAGCCTCCTCCTCTTGCTTCTCCTTCTCCTTCCTCCTCTGGTGGCGGAGTTGGTGGAACTCGGCTCGGAGCCTGGAGTGGCTCGCCTCCAGGCTCCGGTACCGATCGAATAGAACTTGGTACAGAGTCTCCGGTTGGTCGTGGGCGGCCATCGACACCGATGGCGAGGTCTCGCGTAGGAAAACGGTGCGCAATACGCATAGCTGCTAAATATAGCGGGCTGCTTCCCACTTTTAGTTTCTCATCGCGCGAGCAGGTCCGCTCCAAATGCTCTGATATAATATTTTAAGTTTTTTTAATTAGTTAATACGCAAGTCTGTGCTTGCAACTTGCAACTTGCAAGTCACTAGGAAATAGATTGGTTGCTAAATTTGATGGCAATGATTTAATCTTGACCGATGAGGTGTTGTTGGTGACTTGAAGCCTGAGTTCATCCACATCCACATTGTTTGCTTCCTTTCTTGTAGCTTGCACATATTAAATTATTAATGTCCACTTTTTGGATTTATACCTGGCTACATACAAGTTCAAACGTAATCATAAAAGTACCATTCAGATTTATTTATAAAGAATCTCAACGTATTGTATTGCGACATAAATAACGATATATCATATTATGAAAATTGTTATTACTAAATTTTCTATATTTAAAAAGATAAACACACTTGTACGCTAATAACAGTTTTCTTTATTAAATTGACAAAAAATGTTGTAAAATTAAGATATCATGTTTAGGGATGAGCACGATGCGGTTCTATGCAGTTCCACCCCTAAACTGGAACCGAAATCGAAAAATATCAACGGTTTAGTTTGGTACGGTTTCGCTTAAATTTATTACTAGAATCGTACGGTTCGGTCTACATCTGTTTTGATCTGGTTCTTACCAGTTTACGGTTTTAAATACTAAATAATTTAAACACGAAATCATCATGCATTCACATATGTATTCTAGAATGATTATATAAAGTTGCATACAACACATATCCTTTTTAATACAAATGTCTTTGGCAGTGACACCATTAACAAAAAATAGACAATTAAAAGAAATATGCATTAGTTGGTCAACAAACAAAAAAAAAAAAATCAAGAACTTAAACAACATCGGTCTCCTGATATTGGTCCCCTGATATTGGCAGCAGCAGCTGTCACATCCCGACCCGGGTGGGACTACTTCCCGGGCCCGCTCCACCACCGTAGCATGATATTGTCCGCTTTGGGCTTATCATTCCCTCACGGTTTTGTTTTTGGGAACTCACAAGCAACTTCCCAGTGGGTCACCCATCCTGGGAGTGCTCTAGCCCCTTCTCGCTTAACTTCGGAGTTCCTACGGAACCCGAAGCCAATGAGCTCCCAAAAGGCCTCGTGCTAGGTAGGGATGGGAATATACATTTAAGGATCACTCCCCTGGGCGATGTGGGATGTCACAATCCACCCCCCTTAGGGGCCCGACGTCCTCGTCGGCACACACACGGCCAGGGTTAGGCTCTGATACCAATGTCACATCCCGACCCGGGTGGGACTACTTCCCGGGCCCGCTCCACCACCGTAGCATGATATTGTCCGCTTTGGGCTTATCATTCCCTCACGGTTTTGTTTTTGGGAACTCACAAGCAACTTCCCAGTGGGTCACCCATCCTGGGAGTGCTCTAGCCCCTTCTCGCTTAACTTCGGAGTTCCTACGGAACCCGAAGCCAGTGAGCTCCCAAAAGGCCTCGTGCTAGGTAGGGATGGGAATATACATTTAAGGATCACTCCCCTGGGCGATGTGGGATGTCACAGCAGCAACGACAGCAAGCAAAAGCATTTGAGGGTGGGTGAGCCCTAATTGGGATGGATTCAATACTTTGCAACTTGGTGAAACTAATTTTTCAACCTATTATACCATGACATGTGTATATATATAATTCATTTATTTATTATTAATAAAACGATTCAGTTCGGTTTCGATCGATTCTTGTTCCTTCGAAATCGAAATCGAAATCGATTTGAATCAGTTTGGTTCGGTTTTTTTTTTTAAAGTTGACTTTTCCGATTAACACGGTTCTTTTCGATCTTTTTCCATACGATTTGATGCGGTTTTGCGGTTTGACAATTTTTATGCTCATCCCTAACCACGTTGGTGTAGCGCTCTCGTGATTGTGAAAAAACAAACATATGTAATTGTACCTAAGTAATTGTAATTGCGTGCCAACTTAGCTGTGTCACTATACATATGCACACTTTTCAAAATTACAGAGTGATCATTTAATAATTATTTTGTTTTTTATTTTCATTTTTTTAGAAAATAAAAAATAAAAACTTATTTGGCATATAAGGGCATCTTCAAAAGAGATGTCAAATTGTCCAAATTAGCAATAACGGTAACAAAAGACAACATTAATGTTTTTCAACAGAGAAGTCAAATCTGATGTGGTATGATATAAATTGACATCTCTCCTCCTTGCTGTCAAATTTGACAACATCTTCAGATTTTTTTAATTAATTATTAAATGCTTTTTATTAATTTTTTTATTAGTTTAAAGCATTATCCTTTTATTTCTTTTCATTCCCAATGCAAAGAAAGTACATGAATTATTACTTTATGTTTAAAATTTGACATATCGGTTTGAGAGCAAAAATTTAAAAGATGTCAAAGTGCCATGTAAGCCTTTAAATTTAAATTTTAGGTTTAAAATTTGACATCTTATTTGGAGATGGTCTAAAAGCTAATCTTTTTAGTTTTTCATTTTTTTTTGTTTTTAAAATTTAACTTACATTTTAAAACTTTTTAACATATCATTTAGTGGTATTTCTCTTTACTTGTAAGTGAGAGGTCTTATGTTCGATTCTTGTCAAATGCGAATTTGAACCGTATTATCTCAAGCTCATTGTAAGACTTAACCACTCTCCCACCCCTTAGCGTAAATACTATCACACTATTGTTTGTTAAAAAAAAAAAAACTACAAAAAAAAAATATTTATTAAAAAAATTAAAATGATTATCAAATGGCTGCACAATCATCTAAAACTACATTAATGAAACCCTCATTGTCAACCAAAAGAGGATGAAAAGACATCTTTGTCTTTTATTACAACAAAAAAAATTTAAGGATAATAACCTAATTTTACAAACAAAATTTTGCTTTTTTTTTTTTTTAAACCTCATATACATGTAAGTTTATTATCTCTAATTTAAAAATAAAAATAAAGAAACAACCTCTCTCCCTCTCTTCCTCTCTCCTCACTCCGACGTTATCTCTCATTCTCTTCCTCTCTCCTTCAATTTTGACGACCAAACAAAAAAATTTCACACTTTGTGTTTGGGCATATACTATACAATGTGTTGGAAGAATGCAAGAGCAGTAGAGCAAACGAGGCCGTTATGTTATGGTTCCTATCAAAATTTCTTCACTCATCCAGGGCCGTTGATCAAGATTTTGCAGATCCAAATCCAACCGTTTTTTTTCAAAATGACGAAACCGTTGGTTTTAGTTTCAAAACCAAACCTCTACCCGCCCTCCCCAACCAACCCCCCACCAAAAAATCCGCCCCTCTCCTCCGTCTCCCCCTCTCCCAAATCACAGAAACGATGCTAATCCAAGCGCTGAATATAGGGCACGCAACCCTCCTCTTCCTCATCCTCATCTGCTTCGTCCATTTTCTCACTCCCAACGACGTCGTTGCGGTTCAGATTCTTTCGAAATCGAAGCTCGAGAAGTGCGAGAAGAACTCCGATTCCGGAAACTTGAACTGCACCAAAAAGATCGTCCTCAACATGGCCGTTCCTAGCGGCGCGGTAAATAGCAACCCTAATTTCTTTTCCCCCTTTCTTTTCGGATTTTCAGTTTTTGAAATTCAAGTATTGTAGTAACGGTGGATTCCTGTACGGATTCGCAGAGTGGCGGAGAGGCATCGATTGTCGCGGAAATTGTGGAGGTGGAGGAGAATTCGAGTCAGAAGATGCAGACTTTCCGGATACCGCCTGTTCTGACAGTGAACAAATCCGCAGCTTATGCCTTGTACGAGCTTACTTACATACGGGTTAGGAAGCCGAAATTTTATTGTTGAATTGGTAATTTAAATGCAATTTCAACGCATTTGTGATTTTTTCTTGTGACATTTGAACAGGATGTCGCCTATAAACCCGAAGAGTATTATGTTAAAACCCGCAAATGCGAGGCAGATGCAGATGCCAAAGTTGTGAAGATATGTGAGAGGCAAACAATCTTTTAGCCTTTATTTTTTCCCACTCTTTTTTATTTGACAGTTACAAAATTTTCCTTAGAAAAAGGAAAATATTGTCTTTGGTTTTGGTTGGTGTGAGTTAGTTGGGATTATGCATTGTAACAATTGCTTGGAAGTTAAAGTTAGGATCAGGTGTTGACCTTGGATTGTGTTAACAAACATGTTGACTGAGAAGAAGTATTTTGTTTAGAGAGGGGGTATCTTGCACTTGTAGACAAATGTCGTATTCTTTACCGTGCCTATAAACATGACCAGTGGACTTTTTTTGTTTGTTCTGTAGGTTACGAGATGAAAATGGTCACGTTGTTGAACACACCGAGGTACCATTTCTATGATACTTTCAAAGTTATCACTTTTATGTGTACCAGTAATATTTTTGAGTCTTTCGTAGCAGTTTATTTCTTTATTTGCTTCCTAAATGCCGGTTTGCAATTTTAACTGCATTATGTATGGTATGATCATACAACATTGTACTATGTAAACCTTAGGATTTGTATTGAATACCCACCTCAGTTTCAGTACATTGTTCTTCGAACACGTTCTTTGCTTTGATAGGCATATGCTATGTGATGCTTTGATAAGTGAGGAATCACATGAAACTTACCCACTCGTATTAACATATTTGAATTGGACGGAAAAGATTTGATGAATTTCCTCATAATCAATGTTTTGATGTATCATAAAATTGTCCACAATACCTATGTAACTGTGATTTCAATGTCCATCAAGTGTCCAGAAAATTTGTTTCTTAATCAGTTGTCACTGTCTCGTTATAGGGTTAATTGTTATGGATCCATACCCTTTGATTTTTATTCTTTTATTCCTTCCTATAGATCAGGGGATTTATAGCATCCTACGTACACATATTTGGCCTTGTGGCATCAACGAGACAATTAAGTTCTCCATTCTTGATCCTTTCTCCATGTTCCCGTACTATTGAAGTACATCCCATAACAATGTTGTTGCATATGGTTATTTTCTCTGATTAGTGATTACTTACACTTTTCCATTTAGCTTCCGTTCTAAGGTCACTCACAGTTTGTAGTATATCGCCCTTGGTGAAATGGAATGCCATATGTCGTGAGTTATATGTTCTGTAGTCTATTGACACTTAATAGTTCTTATTTATCATATATTTTTTCTTTAATCAGTTTGTGATGTACACTCTTCTCCCATTATGTCTGTTTTATTCTCTGTAGCCAATGTGCTGTCCTTGTGGGCCTCAGCGGAGGGTACCTTCATCATGCGGAAATGTTTGTATGTGCTTTTCAATTTGTTTCTTGTTTCTTGAACTTTACATGCACGATGCCTCTTACGGTCTTGTGGTATTGAATTTGCAACTTTCTTTTGGTTAGTTGACAAGTTGATGAAGGGAAAAGCCAATACTGCCCACTGTGTTCGTTTCCCGGGTGACTGGTAAGGTCCTTGCACTAAGTACTAAGTTCTTCACTGTACTTATGTTTTTTCTTGGACGGTTGATAATTGATTTTTGATAAGTTCTAGCAGATATGCCATAGCCCTCTGATATTTTTGAATATATGTGAAATGAGGTGGGTGTACATAGCAATATTTGAGGCTAAGTCATTTTTCTTGGTAGTAGAGTTGTAGTTGTGTAAAATTTTATTTGTTTCCATATTCCTTTTGTTTTCTTCGCAATTTTGATACCATATTCATCATTTTTCATGAATCTGTGATATTTGATACATTTTTATTGTCAAGTGACCCGTCAATTATAAATCATATTAAGACATTTGATTTTTCTTTTTCTGGGAGTTAAGCAGCTTGAACTAAGATTACTGAGAGTTCAAAATTATTTTACATGCAATAATTGTTTGTTTTGGCAACACAAGTGATGGAAGCTACAGAATATAAACAATTTCACATGGACAATATATTTCCTTTTTGATGTTCGTGTTTATTCATCCTGTAATTTGATTATTCAATAAGTGAATTTATTATTTATTTTAAACCATTTAGGTTCCATGTTTTTGCTATTGGACAGCGGTCAGTGGGATTCAGTGTTCTAATTCAGGTGAAGACTGGGTCTACAGTTTCGGTATGTTTCCCTTCCAAATGCATATACCATATCCATTTCTTGTAATATAAAGTCCTTGTTTATGCCATAAACAATTATTCATTGTACATAACCTGATTTGATCTTGCACATGTGATTGAATCTTGTATTTTGGCGGTGGTGCTGAAAATTAGAGTTCGTTTAATGTTCATGCTGGACTTTATACAGTTTTCTGTTCCTTGTAGAACAAATTTCCCTATTCTCTTTTACTTGACAGTATTTCAGCCTCTTATGTTGCTTATAGTAAAAGTACAATTTAATTTCATATCCAAGATTTATGTATACTTTATTTGCCACCAGGAAGTGCTTGTTGGTCCTGAAAACAGAACAGCCATATCCAATGATAACTTTTTACGAGTCAATCTTATTGGAGATTTTGTTGGTTACACAAATATACCATCATTTGAGGATTTCTACCTCGTAATCCCAAGGCAGGTATGCTTGCTACACTGATGTAATTGTCATTAGCATCTGCTATGAGACTAGATAATATGAAAGTTCTTAGAAGTGATTAAGCTGGTCTATTAATTTTTTTTCTGAACTCCAGTTCTGCATCTTACGATTTTCTTATATTGCTGAGAGTTTCCTCTTAATTTTGTGGAAGGCGGGCCCTGGTCAACCCCAGGATATGGGGAGGAACTTTTCTATGTGGATGCTGCTGGAGAGAGTTCGATTTTCTTTAGATGGTGTTGAATGTAACAAAATTGGTGTCAGTTATGAGGCTTTCAATGGGCAACCAAACTTTTGCTCTTCGCCGCTCTGGAGTTGCTTGCATAATCAAATATGGAATTACTGGGTGGTTTGTATATCCAGCCTGAAATCTCCATCTTTTCTGGTGTATGCTTGTAATTTTAGTCTTCTCTTATCATTGTTAAATGGTATTTCTATAGGTACTAATTGGTATTGATTTCTTGGTATTTGTGTAAAATTGTTTTTCTCCGAAATGTGCATGAAAGTTGCGTACTTGCTCTACCGTTCTTCACATAAACTATGTTGAATTTATGTTCTATTGTAGATACTTGTTAGGTAAGCAGGAGTTTCTTTCCTTCTGTATAATGAGATATTTCAGATAGTCTTGGTTATGTACTTGGTCTATAGTTATTTATAGTTGGTATGAAACTGGTGAAAATGTTCTTATTCTGACAGGCTGACCAGAACCGAATTCAAAGGCATCAGTTGCCACTTTATGGGGTGGAAGGAAGGTTTGAAAGGATAAACCAGCATCCAGTTATGTTTCAGCAATTTTAGAAGTACATTCACAAGGATTTATACAGTTTGGATTTACTTATCATTTTTCTGATCGGATGCAGAATGCCGGGACTCATTCGTTCTCCATAGGAGTCACTGAAGTTATTAATACAAATCTCTTGATAGAACTAAGTGCTGACGATGTAGAATATGTCTACCAAAGGTTTGTACTTTTTTGGGCTGTTCATTTTCCAAAGTTTTTATTATTTTCCTTAAACACTTTACCTTATTCCTTAGATGTTCTCTCTATCAGCATCTGTTTGCCTCTCAACGTGCATATGAGGGAGGGCATTACACTGTTACTCCATTCATTAAGGGCTTAAGTTCTTTGAATCTAGTGGTTGTCTGGTGATAAAATGGTTTTTTCACTTTGACATCTAAAACTAATCACCAGCAGCTGTTGTATATATTTGCAGGAGTCCTGGGAAAATCTTAAGCATCAATGTCCCAACATTTGAGGCCCTTACTCAATTTGGAACTGCGACAATAACAACCACCAATACTGGTGAAGTGGAAGCATCATATAGCTTAACGGTATGCTTTTAATTTTCTTTATGTAGATCTTAAACTTGGTTGTGATTACTGCACATGAAGAAATTCATGTGTTATTTATTGGTCCTCTAAGTTCTATATTTTTTATTTTCTATTTGTTAAAAGGTTAAAAAAATCAAACACCTTGCTTATAAGAATTTGAGAGCATGCCCTACTACATCTATTTACAGCTTCAATGAAGTATTTTTGTCTACAACTTCAGTGAATGGCTGTTACAATATGTAGTTTCAGATCTGATGAATTTTCCCGTCTTGCAGTTTGATTGCTCTAGTGATGTCACCCTTATGGAGGTACGCTTTTCCCTAGTGCTCTTGTTCTTAGTTTAAACATGATCAATGACTATGTATTTATAAAGGATATTGTTTCGCAGGAACAATTCTTTATTATGAAGCCAAAAGAAATGTCGACCCGATCCTTCAAACTTTACCCACCAACTGATCAAGCTGCAAAATATGTATGCGCCGGTAAGATGAGCAGCGGTTCCCACAGATGATAGAATGGCCTAAATTTATAATGATAGGACTAACTTTTGAGTTTGAATGCACAGCTATTCTAAAGGACTCAGAATATAAAGAAGTAGATAGAGCTGAGTGCCAATTTTCTACAACATCTACTGTCCTGGATAATGGAACACAGGTTGAGTTGAATCAATATATGAGGCAGTTTAGATCTAGTATATCAGCATGTTCATTTTTTAAAGTCTGAATACTTTCGAAGTAATATAAACCTTGTGGCTATTGATTTATATGATTAATGAACCACTGAAGTCATTCATTTCGGCAGGGTAATCCCTTTAGTCCACCAAAGAATGGCACAGCCAGTTTTTTTGAATCTATGGAAAGTATTTGGAACAATCTGTGGAATGTTTTGGTAGATTTCGTCACTGGAAAAACTTGCAGGTACTTGCCTGATTCATTTTTGAACTTTGGTGTTCTCTAAATTCACGTTCTCAATTAATGGTTCTTTGATTGACTCCTTTTCTCTCCAACCTTTCAAACATGGATTGCATTATAACCGTCATTAATTTCTCTACATTTTAACAATCTTGTGATTTTTATGAAATCTCATTGATTTCTCTCTTTACATGTGCAGAAGGAAATGCGCTGGATTCTTTGACTTCAGGTGCCACATACAGTACATATGCATGAGTTGGATTGTGATGTTTGGTCTACTCTTGGCAATTTTTCCAACAGGTAAACCTAATTTCTCAGTAAACTTACATATAAGCGGATGATTTTAGAGATGCAACAAGTGCATGACATATTATACGTTGAGGTGCAGTGCTTGTGCTTCTGTGGCTTCTACACCAAAAGGGACTTTTTGATCCTATATACGATTGGTGGGAAGATCATTTTTGGGATGATACTCAGCACAGCAAGGATTATCGAAAGCACAGAGTTGACGTAGACCGCCTGCGCACTCATGCTCTTAAACATCATGGACATGAAGCGACGCACCACAAGCATGGTTCTCACTATAAGCGAAGAAACATTCACCACGATTACAGGCATAACCAGCTTGAAAGAGGCAGCGATTATTACTACCATCTTCACCATGTCCATAAAGACAAGCACAAGCATGGGCGAAGAAAGCATTCAAGCGTTATGCAGATAGTTGACGAAAGTCATGGATACCATGCCAAGAAAAAGGGAAGGAGAGCAACAAAAGACTATTGAAAGTGACAAGACACGATCAAGAGTGAATTTTCTAAGTACAAGGACTGAATTGACACAACCTCGTACGGTAGATCTGTAAATAGTAACAGCACAATATATTTGTGAGAGAACACTTTTGTTTTCTCAACCAAATGTCAATAATTCACAACTAAATTGACTTCATATGCATTGAATTCAACCAAATGTCAACCCAGAACCTTTTATTTTCTCCCCTGTGATATGATCCACACGCTTTGCCATCTCATCTGTGAAATGATGCTTCCAATCCCCAATCTGGCCTTTCCTGAAGAAGTCACGGTTATTAACAACGAACTTGAGGCTACTAGCATTTGGCTCTTGGAGCTGGGCGGTTTTTTTAATCTCCAAACTGCTCAAATGCTCAAAACTGCAAAGCTTTATGATTTGATCCACCACCCCTTCGCTCTCTTCCTCCGCTGAAAAAGGCTGACCGACGAACTCAGCCAATCTCTTCACATAAAGAACCGGCTCCTGCTTCATAGTCTCATACTTCAAGAATAATACTTTCTCAGGAAACTCCAATTGTTGCTTTCCAAAACCCTAGTACATGGTCCCAGAAGGGTCCATAATCCGCGACGCCTTGGCAGAAAAGCTCGAATGCTTCTTCCAGTGAAAGGGGGTCCAATTCTTTAGCCCTCAACTCATAGGGTGATACATATGACGGGCTAGGATTGATTTTTAAGGGAAGGATCTCTCTTCCTCCTATTTCCAACGGTAATATCACACACTATGTATGATAGAATATTCACTCAACACACATCATCATCTTCTACATTCTCTCTGCAATTTTCCCAGAAATCCAAAATATACAAACCTCCATTGAAGATCAGTAAACGTACGTGATCACTAACACCCGCTTTCGGCTTATGCATTGACAACTATTTCTTTTCTGAGGAATTATTGAAATGTTCTTAGATAAGATTGAGTGAAGTTTTTGAGAATTGGGATATGTAATCAAATAAGTAGTTCTGAACTGATATAAGGTGATGCTACGTTTCCCATATGATCGAAGTCTCAGAACTTACACTCACATCCCTTACGTTCGATTCCGTTGCGTTTGAAATTTTTACACATGCATGCATACTGATCATTTAATATATATGGACTTGAATAAAATAAAAATAAAAGTTTTGGATTAGGGCTTATATATTGGGTCAGGTTGATAACAGTTGGACTCGTAAGTCACCCGTTAAGATACCGATTGAGTTCGGATCAAACCGCAAATCACCCCGTTAAAGTGTTAAGAGTAAAGACTTAGACAACTAAAATAACATCAGATAAAAAGCCTAGATGTTTTAGGGTTTAATTGTTGTGCATTATTGTTTTTCATAGGAGGTAAATATATATTTGTACAAGAGGTTCTATAACAAGAAATAAGGATCCCAATTATACAAGGAATCAATCACATAATTATATTCCTAAACTAAATGGTTGACTCACGCCAACACTTCTCCTCAAGTTGGTGGGTAAATATCTCCTAGACCCAACTTGCTAAGTGAGTCTTGAAACCTCCTCGTTGACACCGCATGAGTTAACACATCAGTTAATTGTTCCTCGGACCTCACATACGGAATATAAATTAATTTGACATCCAACTTCTCTTTAATGAAGTCTCTATCCACCTCCACGTGCTTAGTACGGTCGTGCTGAAATGGATTATTGGCTATTTCTCTTGCCGCTTGATTGTCACAATATAACAATATAGTCTCCTTAGGTTTAAAACCAATTTGTAGACATATAAATTTCGTTGCATACAAATGATGCATCACAAAGCTCCATGTGGCATGACCCATCACAAATGGACAAGTTATCAATGACATGTGGCACAAATCAAGCAAAGGAAGAATAAAACTTCCCCAAAACTCGGCAAAAGGGGGAAGAAATCCTTTAAAATCGGCAAGGAGCCCAAATTGCTCCCAAAACCGAAAGCTAAACCATCTTCACAAAACAAGCAAGAATTGAAGATTGCTCACAAAATAGGCAAGAAAGCCCTATAATTCGGCCAAGCAAGGGAAAGTGGTTGAAATTAAGACACAAAACATGCCTAAATTCTTCCATGAACGAATCAAGACACAAATCAAAGCCAAATCCACCCAAAGGCATGGCTTTGGAAGTTTATAAATACAAGGTCCTAGGACAAACAAAGGGTTGACAATTTCTATATTAAAGGACCGAAACTCTCACAAAAGGAGAACCTTTGCCAAATGTTTGAAGACTAATACGCTGCTAAAGCTCTCTTCGAAGAACTTACAACAAAAGCCAAAGCTTTCTTTTGACCAAAGCCGAAGCATTCCCTTGAAGAATCAATAAGCACTTGTGCCGATTCCTTCAAGACTTTGTTGCAAGCTCAAAACTTGTAACGACGTTCGATTCAAGATCAAGTCGCCATGACCCTTGAATCAACGAAATCCTACATCAACACTACATTTGCCATAACTTTGAGGTGAAGACCATCCACGTATTGTTTCAAGCTCAAAACTTGAAGCAATTGTTTAATCGTTTGTCCGAGATCAAGTCATCACGACCCTTGGATCAACAACCTACACATCTACATCAAATTTGAAGACTGAGTTAAAGGAAAATTATAAACAAAGATTGTAACCCTTCAAATTCATCAATACAAATCTACGTTGTACACGTGTTCTCGTTTCATTCATTATAGAATTTTCGTGTTTACAAATTTGGCATGCCCGGTAGGACCTCTCCGCCTTTCATCTCTGTCTTCAAATCCACAAGAAACACACATGGCATCAAGAAATGATCAAGCTATTCCCGCAACCAACTCGAAGAACGAGAACATCATTGCCTCAAGTGGTGGCACTTTGGGCGTCACAACCCGAAGCAAGGTAAGAACTCTCTTTGCTGTGGCTTTCACCCCTACATCAACTCTACCGAAGGAGCAAGAGCACTCGAGGTACGACCCCGTGATCACCCTGGCCTTGCTAAGGGCACCAAGGGAAGAAAGCCCAATAAGGTACTCCGAGTCGTTGACTACCGATGTCGACTAAAGCAGCAGCTCGTATCCCGTAGCCATGCAAGTCATGACTACTAGTGCGACTTTAATCGAAGAGTAGCTGGCACAAATGAGCGAAGCAATCGCAAGGCTGACAAAGACCATGGAGGAAAAGGACTTGCAGATTGCTACACTTGTCAACCGTCTTGAGGTGTAGCACGACGAGAAAGCTGACCTAAAGGTTGATCCACCAAAGAAGGAAACTGATGAAAATGAAAAGCCTCTGATGGAAAAAGTTGAGGAGAAGCTAGAGGTGGACTAAGCTATTATGCTCATGGGATCTCTCTCTCTCTATCCAGTAGCTGTAAGAAATGATCACGAACACAATCAATGCGTAGTACGAAGGAAGCTCGCATGACTTCGTGCTGTATTCAAAGCCCTACTCTAAGAATATTGACGCCTTAAGGATGCCAAGGGGTTGTCAACCGCCAAAATTCATGCAATTCGATGGAAAGGGCAATCCTAAACAACATATTGCCCATTTTATCGAAACTTGCAATAACGCTAGTACGGAGGGAGACTACCTTGTCAAGCAATTCGTGCGCTCGCTGAAAGGTAACGCCTTTGACTAGTACACCGACCTCGAGCCCGAGTCCTTCAACAGCTGGGACCAGCTTGAGAGGGAATTCCTCAACCGCTTCTATAACACTCACCGCACTGTAAGCATATTGGAGCTGATAAGTACAAAGCAGTGGAAGGATGAACATGTCGTCGACTACATTAATAGATGGCATTCATTAAGTCTGGATTGCAAAGATCGGCTTTCTAAAACCTCCGCATTGAGATGTGTGTTTAAGGCATGCACTGGGGTTTACATTACATCTTCCAAGGCATAAAACTGAGAACTTTGGAAGAATTGGCAACTCGATCCCATGATATGGAGCTAAGTATTGCCAATCATGGGAATAAGGAGTTGATCACCAACTTAAAAAGGATTAGGTGTTCGCCCCAAAGGTAGACAAGACTGGGAAAAAGCCCACCAAAGAAGCTTTTGCCGCCCATACTACCCCCATCAAGACCTTCTCCGCCCCCATCAAGATCTCCTCCAAAAACAAAACGAATGAGATGAAGAAAGATGAACCTTCTCACACCCAAGACAGGTACAGAAACACCTTGAGGGAATTAGAGCAGAAGACGTACCCTTTTCTTGACTTTGACGTGGCTGCAATGTTAGACGACTTGCTGGAAAAGAAGGTGATTGAGTTACCTGAATGCAAGCACCCCGAAGAGATGAATCACGTTAACGATCTTAGGTATTGCAAATACCATCGTATCGTAAGTCATCTTATCGGTAAATGCTTCGTCCTCAAGGAGCCCATCATGAAGCTAGCACAACAAGGGAAAATTGAACTCGACCTGGAAGACATGGCCGTAACACATACTACTACGATTGCATTTGGGTCTTTCGATCCAATGCCTCTCCAAGTAACGGTTGACCACTCCCGTCCATGCTCAAGCTACATAACACCTTCTGCACAACCATCGCTAAGGGTAAGCGACCAAAATGAATCTATCGATGATGAAGAAGGGTGGACATTAATGACCTACAGAAAGACAAGGAAGCCAAGACCACAAGCCACATAGCCAAAGATGGAACAAGGGAGAAAGCACCGCTGCTACAACAATAAGAAGCCCAAAAGGAGCGTAAGAGCTGATAAGCCAACATACGTAGGGGAACTTATGGAGCAAAAGTCACGCATTCCCTTCTCCTTGCACGAGTTCTTCCCGAAGGACTTCTTCCAACATTGCACTACAGCTGCTTATTACATGGTTGAAGTAGAGATAGAAAAGCCCTAAAAAGGAAAAGCTATTGCCATCGAGGAAGAGAAAACTCCCACGTCAAAATAAGGCTTGCCAACATACTTTAGCATCGAGAAAACACTACGATTGCCCAAGGAGATGCAAAAAGCACTAGTAGCAGTTTTGGCGAGCCCCAACGACCACAAAGTGCAAGAAAGTAAGGATGAAGCTCAAAGCTTTGACCACACGCGACAGACGCAATTAATTTCACTGACAAAGACTTGCTGCTAGGATCAAAGCCTCACAACTGTCATCTCTTCATCTCTGGGTACGTGACAGAGAACAAAATCAACCCCATGTTTGTGGATGGTGGGTCGGCTATAAACATTATGCCAAAGTTAACAATGACCACAATCGGCATTAAGGTGGATGAATTATCCCGAAGCTACCTCCTAATCCAAGATTTTAACCAAGGAGAACAAAGAGCGATAGGCATGATCAAAGTGGAAATGACTATTGGCGAACTCGAATCAAGCACGTTATTCCACGTGATTGATGCAGGAACTTCCTACAGCTTGCTCTTAGGAAGGCCTTGGATCCACGAGAATGGAGTAGTGTTGTTCACCCTTCATCAATGCTTAAAGTTCTACTAAGAATGAGTAAAGGTGATACAAGGCGAGACTAAGCTATTCACGTACCAAAGCTGAATCACACTTTGCGGACGTCAAGTTCTACATGGATGAAGACATGGTGCCCGAAGCCCTTCCAAAAGAAATCAAATCCACAGGCAAAGCCACACCTAAGAAATAAGAATGGTAAGCCATGCCTAAGAAACAAGAAAGGGAAGTTGTGCCATCTTCAAGCAAAA